CCTCCGCCAAGCAACAAGTCAATGTTTGACTTTGCCATGGCGGGACCACTTGCAGGGTTGCCCTGTCTGTGACTCGGGGGGGGGGGGGGGGGGGGGGGGGGGGGGGGGGGGGGGGTGTTGGTCGCTGGACTGGAATATGACAGCCTCGATGGAGATGACTGCTGCCAATCAGCTTCCTGCCTTCCCGGCTGAGCTGCTTCGTTCTAGTGCTCTCGGTGGTGGGTTGGTTGAGTTCTTCCTGGGCAAAGGCGCTGTTATGTCTGCTGCAGCTCCTGTCGTACCACTACACCCTTTTGCCATTGCAGGCTTTGTCGGTATGCTATCGAATGCGTTGGCATTACTGCCACTGGGCAACACGGATGGCGGAAGGGCGGCTCAAACAATGTTCGGAAGACGAGGTGCATATCTGGTGAAGATCTTGACGACGTTGATTCTCTGTTCGCTGGGACTCTTTGGACTCGACGAGCCAAGGATTTTCTTCTCATACGTCCTTTTCGCAATGATTTGGCAGAGGGATCTTGAGTCACCAACATTGAATGAAGCTGACGAGCTCGACTTCCCGCGTGGGCTGCTTGGGATTGGCAGTGCGATAATTGTCTTGCTTGCTCTCATGCCAATGATGGAGGCATAGAGCATGACATCACACAACAGCCCAGCACTCGAATTGGCAAGGAAGATGCAATTGGGGTTTCATAAGATCGAGGTTAACGAGACATTCTTTCTGTCTCTTACCGGTAGGAAGGTAGGAGAACCGGTGACTGGGCTCTTCAGTAGAACTGCAGATGCCCCAACAACGTTACAGACTGCTTGCATGATCGTCGAAACTGATAAAGCTGCGGTAGGTAAGATACAAGGCTAACATAGAATAGAACATCTGCGGTCCAAGAGATCGTCCCGATGCCGGTACGTATGGCACCTCCCACCTCCTGGCTGCAAGCTTCCGACAACTCGGATATCGATTTTTTTCTCAGTGCGCCGCAACCCGGTTCAATACGACTCTTTCACTGGCGAAAGCACCGCAGTACAGGTCAATAATATAGGATGAAACGGTAGCCGGAGAAACTGCTGCATGTATGTCAAAATAATGGAAAGGGCACATGACAATCCTTTGTTCTTCAACGGATTGGTTTCTGAGAAGGACAAAAAAAAGCAGATTGGTTTGCATCAATGACATCATTATTCAATTGCATTTATGTTTTAAAATATTTCTGTAGCCCGATGATGTCTTATTCAAGACGCTCCTTCCTGCAGATTGGCTCATTACTGCCCTTGGGATTGAACTGCATGCCCAGCATATTATTGTCACCTTGTCACCACTGCTCGATTGCCAGCCTAAAACTACAGGGTAGCACAAGCCTCCATCCATTTCTTGGCATACAAGCTACCAGCAAGATGCGAGTAGCAGAATGTGCCTAGAGTGTCTTGATGACAGCCTTTCCAGCTGGCAAAGTTGCCTGGCAAGCCTTGACTTTTCGTCCATTGAAATTCACCATGCATGTCCCGCAGTCTCCTTGTTGGCAATTGACAGGGATCTTTACCCTGACCCTTCCAGCCACAACGGTCAATTTCTGTCCCACCACAGCGCCTGGAACTGGTTTTCCATTGACTGTCACCTGTTCATTGTAGTTGGGGCCGCCGCTCAGACCGGCATTCTTGGGTTTGTCAAGGCGCTCGTCGTTGGCAAAGGCATCCTTGAGGCCACCAAAGAGATTCAAACTGGTGGTGGAGGCAGAGTTGGTGGCACTAGCTGGGGCGACCACGAATGCCTGAGAACTGGATGCCAGAGCCAGAACAGCAATGACGATGGAGGTCAAGGTAAGCTTAGCCATGACGATGATACTGGTGGGATAGAATTGTTGACTCGTTTTCGAAAAAGAATTGTGTTCAGAGGCACTGTGTCTGCTCATCAATTACGCAGGTTGATGGGTGTCAGCGTTCAATCATCGAAGGAATGACAACGTGTTGTGCATCTCGTAGATAGCAATCGAAAGTAGAGCGGTGTGAGTCAGTTTTCCCGTGAGATTTCGAATGACGTAGGATCTAAATGCATGTTTCAGAGTTAAAGCTTAAACCTTTCCAGCACTAAGAGATATAACAACCATTTGCTTATTAAGTCCTGCTTCACTTCACAACCATTATAACATTATAACTGTGTGCGAACTTCACAACCACTTCTTTTGACCGAGGCAGCTGAGACGAAGAGGCAGACTTGCCACTAGCTACAGTGTAGCTAGTACAATCACAGCATCATGGCTGCCAGTAGCATATGCAAAATTTTTAATATCCTCTAGCTAGCTATGATACCAAATCAATCTATATTCTAACAAAGCTTGTCTCTATATACATGGTTATCTTTCTTTTTACTCAGCGCCATCGATTCGCAGAAAATCTCAATGGTACCCTTTTGAAAACTGAATCTCAAATAAATCTCCTTTCTCCTCTGTTAGTTTCGTAACTTTCAATCAGTTTCTTGTTGCCTTGGTTGTTATTAGTTAGGACAGCATTGCCACTGTTGCAAATTGTTGAACTTGATCCGGGATACTGGTATCGGTAGTGACTTCCACGGCGAAAAAGACCACTGCAGCCAACATGGCAAATCTTCCAATAACCACCTCCACATTCAAGAGTTCTTCCACCTTTTGAGCGTCTTCTCGAAATGGAAGGGCGTTTTTGGGGAGATCCAGTTTCATGGCGTCCGTAACTTCTGTTGACTCGACAGAAGAAACCTGAAGTTGTGATGTTGTGGGTCGAAGCACAGATCGCATGGTGGTGGTTGTGGCTGGAACTGTGGGACCAAACGCATTGGCAATGCCAACGAGCATCAAGAAAACGAAAGCAGAAATGGGAGACGAGGACTTCATCGTTGTTTGTATTGTGTAATTGTGTGCAATTGGCTCGATTTGTGTGGGACCACGAAAAGATTGTGTGGTTTCAATTCCGCCAAACATCACCAGCTATCTAGTAGGATCATCATTGCTTCGAAGGTGGTCGACAATGACAGCGTGACAAGTAAAAGTGAGCGGTGGTGTGGTGACTCGACTCATCAGAACTGTGACGATGACGTGTGAATTCAACTCCTTCCGAAGAGTCTTGGGACATTGAGGGCTCAAAGAGCCAACACGGGTTTAAAGATACTCGGGACTGACCTCTCCGGTACCGGTTATGATCCGGTCAAAGGAAGACCCAACGCTGTGAGACTTGGGAATTGGGAACAGGAAGGTCACAATGTCACAATGTCAGAAGTCAGAGGTCAGAAAGCAAATTTTACGGGCAGCCATAATAAGAAACAATACACCATCACCATGAGTTCCCCTCCCAAGAGCCCCAAGAGTCCCAAGAGACCAGCTCCCATTCACCATGGCAAGAAGCAGAGATCAATATTTGAGCCTGGAGATATTGCAGAGCTCAAGCGCAAACAGGAGATTGAACAGCGTAAACGGCAAGAGGAAGAAGCCGCCTTGGCAGCAGCCAAGGTGAAAAAAGAACGAGCGGATTCGTACCGAGACGGTCTGTATGGACAGCGCCAAAAAATCATGGGCGGCCGGGAAGAAGACTACGATGACGAAGAGGAAGAGCACCACCATGGAGTACTACACGGAATCAAAAAAATTATTGGCGTGCAGTCTGACTCGGACGAGGAGGAGGAGGAAGAGCACCACGGAGTACTGGAAGGAATCAAAAATATGCTTCACTTGGAAAAAGATCCATACGCCGACACTTACGAACCCGCAGTTTCAGCCAATGAAATACCCACGACGTTTGGAGCCATGGCAGTAGGAGTTACCCTAGCTGGAATGTTGGGTGGTGGTGATGACAAGAAGAGTTAATGGAAACAACGACATTTTGGATCAGGAGCAGGATATCCCTACCAAACAAGGATATCCCTACCAAACAACAACAGCTGGTTTGATGCTCAGAACACTCAGCCAACAACCATCCCATTGTTCAACGAATCAAGAGGACGCTTAGCTTAAAAACTTGTACAGTAGCAAATTGTAATACTACCCACTACGAAGGACCTGTGCCGGCAGAAAACAATGGAGAGAAGCTCCCTCATTTATTTTAGCCCACGCAATCTGGACGGGGCGAACGAACAAGGCACGCTGAATCCTTGGGCCAATTCGAAGTCGGGTAGCCAACGATTGAGCAGAAAGTAGTTGTGAAGTTGCTACCAAGTTGTAGCACTGGCTAGGCATTATCATTGGCGAGTTGGTAAGAGCAAGCTTCAGCATCAAGGGCTTCCTCGGCCATTTTTAGTATTGGAACTGGAACGCTGGTTCGAATGTTAGGTTCGAATCCAGACTTGCCTGATGGGTACTATTGAAAGGGGAAAGGGTACACTTCAGAGAGATTCTCGTTCTTCTTGGGTGGGCTCCAGATCTGTTCGTCGCGAACATAATATACGGAAGCAAACTAGATAATATCTTTCAACCTTTTAAGACTTTAGAATATCTTCAATCTCTCCACGAAATAGGATCAACCCAGGTGATGACAAGTATTTCTGAACCTTGGCCTTTGGGGTATCCACTTTTTCTGTCTTTTCTCGTTGTCGCTTTTCCTTTTTCCGTTTCTTCTTGTCACCGGTCATATCTTTAATTTTGACAGTGTCCTGGGACGCCACTTGTTGCCGTATCACATGCTTTGCTTGGTAGCCCTTGCCTACTTCATGATTCTGAAACTGTGAAATATCCACTGCTGCCGATGTGGCCTTGGTTTTGTGTTGTCGAATGGATTCTCGCTGGTGATCCAGTTCTAGGTTTTCACCTTGCCATCCTTTGTGCGATTGAGGCAAGAAGCGACGATCCTCACTCTCATCGCTGTCGCTGCTGTCGTCGGAGGCTGGTGCCATGGTTGGATGTTGTTCGATCAAAACGGTCGAGCAATCCAACAGAGTGATCTTTCCATTCGCGGCTTGTTTGAACGAGGTACTACAGCTATTATTGACGTATGTGTCACTGATTTGGACTGTGCCTCTTACCGCAACAGAGATCCCGTCAAAGTTTTAACCCAACAAGAACGCGACAAAATTTCCAAATATAAAGAAGCGGGCGACTCCAATCGCGCTTCCTTCCACCCCTTTGTTGTTTCAGTGGATGGCATGCTTGCCCCTCAAGCCAAGACTCTCTTACAACGCCTTGCTTCTGCTACTGCCTCCAAAACTCAATTTTCCTACTCTCAAATGATGTTCTTCATGCAGACCCGTAGCTCAATTGCCCTTGTGAAAGCTACCCATTTATGTCTCCGTGGATCCCGCAAAGCCAAACCTTTTGCCCCCCGTAATGGTCCTCAATTTCTTGCCCCTGATCCCACAGAACCTAGTCCTGAATTTCGACTGTTCTTTGCTTAAGCCTGGCCCCGGCTGGCTTCCGTAGCTAATTTCCCTACTCTAAAACCCCCTTACATAACAGAGTGACAGCGTGCCTTGGCCCTTGGCGCCTTGGCAACGAGCAACGAGTGGGGGGTGCATGGAGGCGAGCTATTAATAGACTAGCTATCCCCCGTGTAAGCATACTATATAATATTATTGCGATACATTATTCATGTCGGGTCGTCGACGACTCTTGAGTCTCGAGTCTTCTCTAAATTTTGGTCTTGTGGCGACGCCAGAGAGCCACTTCCCCTTCCCACCTCCCCGCGGCAACAAAAGCCAGGAAACCCACTCTCGTCCCACAGAACGAAAATGACCTGTGGTAGCGATTTATGACTATCCAGTTACCAGATTACCAGATTACTAAAATCAACCACACAACAACTACCAAGTAGTAACACACAACACTATAGCAACCTCTTTATCACCACCATCAGCCTTTTTCGGCTTATCAGGCGTGGTAGCTAGCGATCGAGAAGAAGAAGACCGGTAGCAGCGCCATTGTCGACGATTGGAAGCTACCGATCGAAGCAGCGCTTTCGTTCGTTCGAGGCGTGGAAGCTACTACTACGATAGAAAGAAGAACAAGCGATCGGTCGTTGCGAGCGACCAGAAGAAGAAGACCGTTCGAACGCCATTGTCGCCGTTCGAACGCCATTGTCGCTACCGTTCGACGTGAAGATACCGTTCGTTCGTTCGGTTGAAGCGAATATCCCATTGTCGGCCGTTCGACAAGCGACAAGAAGAAGAAGCTACTGTTCGAACGACGACGCTACTGTCGTTCGCTTGTCGTGATCGAGAAGAAAGAAGAAGAAGAAGGAGCCTGTTAACAAACGGTTCATTCGTTCGTTCATTCGAAGCAGCGCCATTGTCGCCGATTCGAAGCTACCGTTTCGGAGCCACAGAACGACAAGAAGAGATCCTCATTGCCAGTGCAATCGGCAGAGGAACAAGAGAAGAAGAGAAGACCTCCAAGCGGCATAGCAACAGAAGACCTCTCAAGAAGAAGGGGCACTCTCAAGTGGAGCGAGAGATAGAGACTTCCAAGTGGGAAGCAGAGGTTTGGACTTGGAATATTGATCCCTCCAGTCTGGATCAATTCCTGCCTCATTGTCACCAAAGAAATCGATTGAGCCAAAGGAGAGGGGACGCCTGATCCAAGAGTATTGGCCTAGACTGCCACAGACTGGGTGTGCAGAGCTCATTCCGTGGAATACAGCCTTACTTGTCTGGGTGTGTACAGTTTGCTGTTGGAATAGGAGCAGAGAAGAAGACCCAACAACTGTTGTTCATCCAAGTGATACCGCAAGAGAAGAAGTAATTGGAGGCGAATATGGCAGGCAATCTTGCAGCCATGAACAACTATCTACAGAATACCATCGGTATTGCCGAATTAGCCACGAGGACAGCATTGAATGATCAAGGATTGGATGCCTTCGTCTCACTCGATACTTTACCGATGCTGATATCAAGAGCATCTGCGAGAACGTGAGGAAACCAGGTGGTACCATTCCCAATCCAGCCATTGCGGCTGCAGCCACTGCCGAAGCTGCCGCAGCAGTTCAGCCCAGAGAAGTTCCCAACCGGGGACGACAGCTGGGATTTGTCTTTGAGAAGCGACTCAGACAACTACGGTTCTACAAGTTTCATATGACACGAATCCAGCGTGAGTTCACTCCCAACCAAGCCAGTTTGCGAGATTGAATAGAGTTTGGGCTTTATACGAGTCCGAACGAGAAGAGATCGATGTTGCGGATCCTCCCCAACTCTTGAAGGTCGAAGATGTCCGACGAGTTCTGGAGTCTATTGACAATGTTCTGAATGTCAAGCGAGGCGTATGCGGTGCCCCTCTGGCTTATGTTACGAGATCCAAAGTCACTTTGCCAGGAGCACTGATACCGACACCGCAGATGAGGCTGACCAGGTTTTGGCCTTCCATCGCATCCTGAAGAATTGGTCCGAAGAACAGACATGCGGACCTCATTTCGTACAAGACAATCAGGCTGTTTGGGCCATCATTCGGTCGGTTACTCACGGTGGACCTGGTTTGGACATGGGTCCAACGTTGTGCAGCGCAACAGAACGGTCGAGCAGCTTACTTGGCCATGAAGGTTCACTATCTTGGTGATTCGTTCCAGGCTCGTACCAAGGCATTCGCGGATAGAGCCATTGAAACTACTTTCTTTGATGGGAAGTCCCGCAACTTCACTTTTGAGCGCTACTTGTGAAAGGCTTACCAAGGCCTTCACCGATTGGAAACCGCTGGTGAAACTTTACTGAGAGCCGCAAGATCGCAAGCTTCTGTCCGGCATAACAGA